TCTGTTTTTCCCGCTCTCTTTTTTTTACTCTTTTCATCTCCTTTCTGTCTTTCTCTCTCTCTCTCTCTTTCTCTTTCCCTCTGCTTCTTTTTCCGTCATTTCATATGCTTATCTTTATTTCCTCTCTTCGACTACTCCCTTCCTTTCTTTCTCTCTCTCGCTCTCACTCATACACTCTCTTTTTCCCCGCTCTCTTTTTTTTACTCTTTTCATCTCCTTTCTGTCTCTCTCTCTCTCTTTCTCTTTCCCTCTGCTTCTTTTTCCGTCATTTCATATGCTTATCTTTCTTTTCTCTCTTCTACTAATCCTTCTCCCTCTCCCTCTCTTCACGCCTTATATCTTCTCTTTTCCCCCATTTTTTCTCTGTCTTTCTCTTTCTACTTTATTCTCTATCACTGTCTTTTTCTCTCCATCTTTTATTTTCTCTCTTATCATTTCTTTTCTTTTATCTCCCCCTCTCTTTCTTCAGTCATTTCATATACTCTTTCTCCCTCTTCTCTCTCTCCCCTCTCTCTCTCTCTTTCTCTCCATTTCACTGTCTTCTTCATTCTTTCTTTTAAAATTGTTTTTTTTTTAAGTATACAATTGGATATAAAAAAATCTGCCTTATGTTTGACGATTTGATATTAACAAAAGTAATTTAAATATATATCTATTCCAAGTACGCCCGACTAGGATGGCTATCTGTTCCCTGTTGCAGGTACCTTCCCAGGCACATTTATGTTTATTCAACATACATTGGGCCATTGTGTGGTTTATGCTTCAACTATGCTGACCAGATCTTTGTTACAAAGAGAGGGTGCATAATCTGACATGGCCATCAGTACGATCAAACATTCGGCCATGATGACTTGTGACTTCTTCTTAGCACAACAATAACGGCTTCAGAACTGTTCCATCTACTCAGTTCCACTAAAAATGTTTGGAAAAAAGCCCGTGCTCTGGTTTTCAAATACTTTTCTGTGGTGCCATAATCTGGGATCGTCTTCCCAGACGATCAAGACAAATTGACCATGATGAGATATCTAATACATGGGAAGCCGTTGGTATAAAACAATGGCTTCTGTTATCAATTATAGGCATTTGAGTAATATATATATATATATATATATATATATATATATATATATTATTATTATTATTATTATTATTTTTTTTTTTTTTATTATTATTATTACATAATATATATTATTATTATATATATTATTATATAGAGAGCATTTATATTCCAACCCATGGTCGGAATATAAATGCTCTAACCCGACCATTTATATTGGATTTTATTATTTCTGTGTCAATAATTAATACTCTCGTTAAATATTTTGCACTTTATTGATAGAAATCTTGATTACTTTCATATGCGTTAAATTGAATGATTTCACCTACATCATTATGTGACATTATATATATATGTACGTGTGTGTTACACAATGATGTAAGTGAAATCATTTAAAACACCGATAATAAGTGTATAAAATGGAAAAAAATCAAAAATATAAGCAGTAAATAGCTTATGACCCCCCACCCCGGCTGCCTGATAAGCAGGCGGACAGATCCGCCTACGAAAGTCTGCAGTCGGCAAGCTGAAGGTAACATCAATCAGCTAAGTGGCAAACTTTTACTTTCTTACCAGCTCCTTCCTCTGAAGGAAAAAAAGAACGAAGATAAGGGCAAAATAATCACGACGCACGTCCGTACAGACAAATGCACGCGAGTGCGCAGACAAGCGCACACAAAAACACAGAGAATAGAGAAGAAAATTTACACATATGCTAAATGTACATAAAAAGAAAAAATTAAAAAAATATAAGCAGTAAATTGCTGATATCCGCTGAAGAGAGGACGAAATAAATCTCTGCAGTCGGGATACTGAAGCTAACCTCAATCAGGTAAGTGACAAACTTTTCTCATATTAATCATATATATATATATATATATATATATATATATATATATATATAAGGTTATGACTTTTTTAGTTTTTGTAAAATAATTGACTTTGTGTATTATATTTCTATGAACTTTTGCTAAAAGATAATAAAGTAGGGTTTAATTCAGTTTATTCTTTTAAAATTCTCACCCCAACACAAAATTCCTATAATCGCATATAAGTATAGTAGTATTATGACTTTCTGGGACCTTCTAGAAGTTTCTCGAACATTTTAGAACTTCCTGAAGACTTTTAAAAATTTATGGAACCTTTTGGAAAGTTTGTATGTCATGCTATAGCTATAAACTGTAAAATCCGTTAAAAAAATGCATAAATACTATCCAATTAGATCATTAATAAGTTGGAGATTTTTCACGCCAGTTAATTGAAAGTTTCGGTGGATATTCTGGGGAGTGTCATTTTTGTTTTCAATCATCTTTTGTATCGTCTTTTTCGTCTAAATTCTGCGTTTTATCTATAATGGTTTAATTGTCTGCGGTGACAAGTGTACGAATCTCCCAATGCCTCACCCACTCAAGTGGCTCCTTCGGCTTGGGCAAAGGATCGGCTCCCACAAAAAGAGCCAGAATATTATAAATACTTAAGGACGAATTTGAATGTTACCGGTACCGTCTCTGTTGGGTACGGTGAACACTCGTACTATTTTTTATTAACATCGACCCAAAACTTCGGAAATTAATTACAGTAGAGACAGATTTTATTATCATCCACAGACAGACTGTTTGGCTGTATCACAGCTCTTCAGTGTGGCTGAAGGTAATGATTTGTTTTCAAATTTTCCTAAATAAATCATTTTTATCGTGTTATCTACCATCGCCCGAAGAGGAAGAATTATAGCTCCGAAAAATAAAAGTTTTTCTGTAACGATGTGAAATGTTTTTATTGTAATCTATTATATAAAAAAAATAGTATAATTATATTTTGCTCTACTTTGTATTGAGCATGTTTTTTTAAAAAAAAAAAACATGGCAGATGTCTGGTTGCCTCTAGCTAGGATGGAAACTCGACTGAATTGGTGTCAGTCGTAAATTCTACAACTAAGCCGTAGGCGCACGACTAGCGTGCACGTTATTTTTAGAGTCTTTATTTTTAGATAAACACACAGTGACCGACAGGACTCAATCCGTTTCACTGAAGAGTTATATATATATATATATATATATATATATATATATATATATATATATATATATATATATATATATATATACACCATAAATAAGAGAAAGAACATATATAGTAAGAATTCATAGTTCTTAGCATTTACTTTTTTTTAAGAAACCTGCTCAATACAAAGTAAAGCAAAATATAATTATACTATAAATAAAAAGAAAAGAATATGTATAATAAATCTATGAATACAAAAGGAGATTATTGATGGTATAAAATATTACCCGAATCAACTGAAAGCAAGTCTATGGGAAAATCCTATCCTCCTGTAGAAGTCAATAGACAAAAGTCTTGTGGGAGAATTGAATCAGACGAGTATGTTTGGCAGCGTCAAAGAAACGTAGCAAATAAGAAACGTGCAATTTGGATGGCGAACAAGATCTGCTCGGCTAACGAAATAATCTTGTCTTTGAGCACAGATGGTTTTAGCCTTTCAAAGCGGATTCAAGTCAAATCTTCACAAGGTTGTCTTAGTCTGGAAATGATGAAAGAAAAACCTGAGACAAAGATCTATTTGGGAAAGTTCAACTCGAAAGAGTCAAAAATCACACTATCACCATACATGCGTTTGTGTATGTGCGTGTGTGTATGTGCGTGTGCGCACGCGCGAATATGCGTGCGTTGGAGTGTGTGCGTTGATGCATGTGTGTATTGGCGTGTAAGTGTCAGCGCGTGTGTTGGCATCTGTGTGTATGTGTGTGTCCGTGTACGCGCGTGTGTGTGTGTGTACTCGCGTATGTCTGTGCATGCGCATGTCTACGTGTGGGGATGTCCGTGTGCGCTTGTGTGGACGCGTTTGTGCTGACGTTTGTGTGAGTGGTGTGTGTGTGTGTCTGTTTGTGTCTGTGTGTGTTCGTGTTTGTATGTGTGCGCCTGTGCCTGCGTGCGTGAGTGGGTGCAGTGTGTATGTGTGCGCGTATATACGTGTGTGTTTGTATGTCTGTGTGTGCGTGCGCGTATGTTTGTACATATATATATATATATATATATATATATATATATATATATATATATATATATATATAGGTACCTCGAGGCGATGTGATGGTTAGCAAGCTTCTCTTGCTAGATCAATTACGACTGAGTAGTAAGTTCGATCCTCACTGGGTGCCCCGTACTTTCGGCTTTGTGCCACATCTAAGCTTCGCTTGGAAAATCACTATATATATATATATATGTGTGTGTGTGTGTGTGTGTGTGTGTAAAGGTTAATGTAAAGGAGCTAGAAACGCAGATAGTGTAATGGCTAGCAATTTGGAAAAAAAGAAATGGGCGTGACGAGTTCGAACTCCAAATGAGTTGGTTGCATTCACTTTCTTACAAATACCATTGATTCCATTTTTTTATCTTCCCCTTTTCTTCCGCTATAGTTGTTGGTTAAACAGCAGGCACTGACTGGCAACCGATCAAGGAAAAAGAAATTTCTGAATTCAAATACGTGGTGGACTGTTTGGAAACGTCACAAGCAGTGCACCATTTCTCTGTTATAAGACTTTTGGAAAAATCTGGCTGGTTCTGTGCCATTCTTTATCACTTTAACCATTCTCATGAAAGCTGTTGCCATATATGGTCTGGTACATATCGAGATTCTTGACAAAATCCAAAGAAGATTCTATAATGTAATCGATCCTGACCAAGCATCTCGACTTCAGTCACTTTCAAACCGATGTGACGCGGCTTCTCTCTATCTTTTCTACAAGTTTTCTTAGCAACTGCTCTGACGAGCTTTTTCCCGGGTGCCCCGACTATATGTATTTAAGCGTGATACTAGATTAGCAATTAGGTTTTACTGTTGAAATAGCTATTAGGTTGTCCCAAAAGTTCGTAAACACTTGCGAAAAACTGAATTTTTATGCAATTTTTAATTGTTTTTGGAAGCGCATTGTGACATCGGACGAGAAATGGGTCTATCTGGTCCAGCACAATCGAGACAAGCGATGGGTTCAGAAAGAGCAAGAGACACCGTCGGTTCCAAAACAAGATCGATTCGGCAAGAAAGTCATGTTGTGCGTTTGGTGGAACTTTGAAGGAATCGTGCATTTTGAGTTGGTTCCGAATGGTCGTGCCATCGGTGCCGAACTTTACAGTCAGCAACTAGAGCGGGTCTACGAAAAGTTGAAGTAAAAGTACCCGGCTCTGATCAACCGAAAGCGCGCTTTGATGCAGCAGGACAATGCCAAGCCACACACCGCCAGGAAGACCAAAGACAAGTTTGAAGAGCTGGACGGCGTTGAGGTTCTGCCACATCCAGCCTACAGTCCTGACTGTGTTCCATCAGATTACGGCCTTTTCCGCTCAATGCAACACTTTCTGAAGGGTCGCCGATTCGACTCGTTTGATGAAGTCGACAAAACGTGTCAAGAACTCTTAGATTCGAAGCCGACTGAATGGTACTTTCACCAGATCCGAAAGCTTGCAGATCGATGGCATAAAGTCTTGGAAAATGATGGTCTTTA